ATATATATTATAAAAATATAATAATAATATATGTATATAATAATAATTATTATACATATAAATATTTCCATGAACCGACAAATACGAAGATCGCGATTGAAAAATTACTACTTTTTGATGCCAATTTCTGACCTGAAAAATTCGTTGCAGGATTCATGTATTTATTATTTAAAACATATTAAATAAATTGTAGTTATAAGGTCACAGTGTTTATATCAATCTATTAATTAATTAGTAATTAACTAATTTAAGATATTAAATAAGATTATATTAATTAAGATATTCGTAAAGTTCTTGTGAAAGTTATTTACATAATTGCAGTTTATTTACACGGCATTTCGACGGATATTCTTTACTCGTGTGAACCATCCTGAGCTCTGCTTACCAAAATACACGGTAATCGCGCGATAGTATTAGCATTTGCATACATGAAAACACTTTGGCGATGCTTTTGTTTTTTGTTTTACATTTACATCCAGCGTTAGGCCCACTGAATTGTTTAAATACTTAAATAATTGAAAACATAAATTATGTGGATTAAATTCTCATATAATTTACAATGAAACTTTATAATGTACGGTAATTTATAAGATTATTTTTTTAAACAGAATAAAATAGGTAACATTTGATTGAAAAAAAACAAACAGATTTTACATCTATAGACGTAAGTTGATTTAATTATTAATGGTATAGGCCTATACCTATTATATATTTCTATAAATTAATCAACAAATATCTCATTAATCATCGAAAATAGGCCTAATGAAGTATTATTGAAGTACTATTAATTCTTTTTTAAAGCATTATTCGAGCACCTTAATTATTATTATTATTATTTTACCGTATATATTATTTATCAACCATACTAACATTGAAATCATGAATTATGTGGATAAAATTATCATAGAAAATAAACTTATAATCTATAAGATTATTTTTTTAAACAGAATAAAATAGATAACATCTATTTTTAAAAAACAGGTTTTGCATAGACGCAAGTTGATTTAATATATGCTAATTCATCTCATTAATCAAACAATTATTATTCATTATTATAGTATTTTTCGAGCACTGTTATTATTATTATTATTATTATATTATTATTATTATTATTATTATTATTATTATTACTTCTATTATATTTGTAATGTTTGTTGTTCTATTTTTTTGTTTTATGTATGGGCCTAGATATATGTAGGCCTATATATTTAATAATTAAAAATAAGTATAATTAATTATAAAACATATATAATATAATGTTAACAATAATATAGGCTAGGCTAGACCTAACCAATTATTGATACTATAATCTATAGATAAATACATCCATTTGATAATTAAACAGCAGCTTTTCGAGTTGCAGTGCCGATAGAAAACTGCAGTGAGAAACTACATTCCTGAACCATCGCACATGTTCGTACAGTTTCCATGTACAGAGATCAAGCCAGTCGGCTATTTTCAGCATTTGACATCCTTTCCTTCTCTCCGATGAAATTCCTGAATTGGCGGCGTACAAAGACTTTGTCTCCGATAATATTCTTGAATTGGCGGCGTACAAAACTTTCTTTATTCTCCCAAGAGTATCATTGGACCCAACTTGTGAGAACGTTTCTCACTGAATTAATTATTACTGTACTAGGCAACTTGGTACTGGCAAATTGATACCTATTTAAAGCAATGTATTTCCATTCATGCCTAGATTTAATTATTAATTAATTATTTAAATACGGTAACCAATCAATCACTTTTATCTGGAACGTATAAAACACTTCTTAACTAAAAATTATGTTATTAAAACTACTTCGTAAAACAATCAATCTTAATAATAAAGCATTTCGCCATACGTTCTTTCAAGAACATAATAAGGTCTTGTTTTGTAAACTGGCATAGGGCCTATTCTATTTTTTTAGTAAATGTTTTCTCATACACGATTTCTAACAAATTCGTTACACAACTACTGGAGTAGGGAGTTATCAACTCACTCTGGCTAGACAATGAACATGCTTGCTTCATCAGATAAGACAAAAGATATCAATTAGCGTCTCCGTGGTAACGTTAACTTTTAACCCTACTAGTATTGTTGCTTTTTATTGAGTAACAAATGATTGAATCGATAGCATGAATCGTGTACATATTTTAGTATAAATAATTAAGAAACGAATATAATATGTATGAACTTTAGAAACACTTCAGTGGAGGAAACCAATTTTCAACCTATTCTTATATAAATTATATATGTATACATATTTAAATATATGTGGCCTATATATAAATAGATGTGTATAAGAGACAGATATATAAATCATGATATATAATATATATATGGCCTATATAATAAATAATGAAACAATATTAGTATTGTTGCTTTTTACTGAGCAACAAACGATTGAATCGATGGCATGAATCGTGTACATATTTGAATATATAGAATTAAGAAACGAAAATCATATGTTCAGTGGAGGAAACCAATTTTCAACCTATTTTTATATAAATTATATATATGTATACATATTTAGAAAACATGAAGAGGAGTCCACGTGTGTTCATATGGATAA